TCAGCTAGTGATTGGCTGAATATTAGATCCATCTTGCGACACATCAGCAACCTTAGAGTAGTTTAGCTTTCAGTCTCTGCAACATTATGACAGTCTCGCCTTCTCCCATTAGCCACTAACAAGGATTGCATAATGGACAGGGGTAGCAGTGGAGATAGGGCTGCATGAGGATCCCACTGCTTCCATTGAAATAGAATAAGCCTGTCTGAGAAATCATCTCAAGTCGTTACAAAGGCAAAATCTTTCTCTGGGCACTGGACATGGAGACCCTCAAAACCCAGAGATCGATCACAATATGTTCTTACCCACCTTCTTCCCAACAGGGGCAGCCTCACACTGAAATGATGGGGTGAGATCTCCTTTGCTCAAACTAGGAGCCCAAGGGCCCAGTAACAGAACAGGGAGCAAGGTGGTGGAATGCAGCCAAGGGCCCTGTGGCAGGGGGTTAGTGCAAAAATCACCAGTTGGAAACATATGCTGTACAGATTTGTCAATTCCACTGTGTCTGGCACTCCTAGTCCCAGAATTCTCTGTTGGAAACTGATTATATGGAGATCATTTCTACTGGGAGAAGGTTGAGCAGCAATTTAGAGCTGTGATCAACAGCAAAAGGCTGGCAGGGAGAGACTGTATAGCAACCTTTCAAGCCAAAAAACCATAGTCAGGGAACAAGAGTTCTCAGAGACTTCAGTACTCTACACAGCTCCCAGAAGAGCTAATTATACCAGCAAGGCCTTGGCTTGGTTAATCCTTTGAGGATCTACCTTCTTATTGGAGAATGGAAACAATTAGATAGGCAGCCCTCCCATCAGGTGCCTGCCTTTTTGTCCCTTCTCTGCTAACTCCCATTAGAGTTGCTGCCGGGCAGGCAGTCGTATGCACTCAGTACAAGAGGCTCTTAGGGGCAGAGGAGCTTCCAATGCACAGAGACTGTAGTTCTATAAGATCCTGCTTCAGGAGGTGCTTTTACAAAAGGTTCTGAATGCTGGACCTTGGGATCCCTGTCTAATGGCTCCCTGAGTTTCACTACTGGTCCTCCTAAGCCCATTGGTCATTCTTTGCCCAAAACAGAGTCCTGTCACTGTTCAGTGTCTCAGAGGGAGTGGACTTGATCAACAAAAGCTCACATTAAAATACTGTATAGCAGTTAGTCTTTAAGGTGTCACAATGTTTTGTCATCATCTTCTTTTGTTTTGTTCTGTTTTTGCTTTGCTTTGTTTTCTTTTTTGTTTGATAAGCATATGCAAACTAACGCGGCTACCACATTGAAAACTCCAGAACTTGGGGGTCCTTTTTGCTTAGGTGGGACATAACTGAAACAGGAAGTCTGCTTTACTCTATTCCTATCCTGGAGTGTCTGATGAGCATACTGTCAAGATGCAGCACTCTTTGGACATGCCGTTTGTGTTTGCATTTTTGGCTAATAGCCACCTACAGACCTATCTTCCATTAAACTCTCGCAGTATTTTTTGATACTTACTTAAAATACAAGCATAATTCCTTGAAGTAATTAACTGCAGCATTTAATTAGGGCTGATGTGAGGGTTTTTTGTTTGCATGTCCAAAACTTTTCCTTTGTTCTTGTGAATGAATACTATTCCATACATATTCTTTTAATACAACTCTTTTTGGGGTTATCCTTTCTTATCCCCCTCCCCCAGCCTGAAGACCCAGTTATATATATCAGGGTCAGAAGCTTCAAGGAAGGTCCTATACTGATTCCAGATGAGACTTTTATTGTACCTTCACCTTATCTTTCTCACTGAATTTTCAGTGGCTTCATGTGATACCGTCCTCTACTCATAATCCTCCTTTGGCTTTGTTTGTTTGTTTTGCTCCTTCAAACCTTTTGTTTTACAAAAAAAAATAAAGAGAAGTAAGAAAAAAAGAATAGCTGCCCAGTACTTTCTGATTGTGAGAGCCGAGACCTTTTTACTTGGGGGTGTTCCTAGGTCTGGTGGGACTGCTCCAGTTTCTTATGCAGGAAGTCCCTGGTTTGAACCAGAGGAACTCCGCAGGAACAGTTTGTTCTGTTCATGATCATGCACGGCAAAACATTATCGTGCATATTTGGTGAGTTGACCTAAACGTGGTATTGCTTTAAACGTGTTTAGGCAAAAAATGCAGCCAGGTCAACGATCCATGTTCTTGTTACATGCCATCAAGTAGCCTCCAAACCACGATGACCCTATGAATGAGCAATCTCCAAAATGTCCTTTCCTCAACAATTCTCTCAGCTCTTCTAAACTTAAGCCTGTGGCTTTTTTTAGAATATTCTATATCCATCTCGTATTTGGTCTTCTTCTTTAACTGCTGCCTTCTTCTTTTCCCAGCTTTATTGTATTTTCCAGGCAAGCTTACCCTCTCATGATTTGCCCAAGGTATGACAGAGTCATTTTGATCATTTTTGGCTCCAGAGATGGTTCAGGCTTGATTTGTTCTAGGGCCCACTTGTTTGTCTTTCTGGCAGTCCAAGGTATCCACAAACCTCTCCTCCAGCACCATAACTCAAACAAATCAATTTTTTTCCTGTCAGCTTACTTTACTGTCTAGCATATTGGGCAAACACAAAATAGTGTTCTTTTTCAGTTTTTGTCTAATGTTGGATATTAACAGTTCATGATCAGTCCAACAGTATGCTCCTGGTCTTGTTTTGGCTGAGAGAATACAGTTTCTCCATCTCCTGCTTCCAATTATGTATTCCAGGCGATTTCCAAATTGTAGACTGATGTCCATGTGTACAGTCATTTCTTTGATTGTTTGTAGCAGGTATTTGCAATAAAAAGATTGTTGGGCTCACAGAACTCTATGAGTCATTCTCCTGTTTTATTTCCATCCCCTGGACCAAATTTTCCAACAGCATTTGGTTCTGCTTTGTTTCCTACTGAAAACAAGATGCTTTATTTACTCCAGTGGGCAGAAGGTGTAATCAGAGATAATGTGAGGTTATCTAGAGGTGCAATTAATTTGCAGATTTATTTAAATAACAACAGATAAACAGAAAACGAGATCCATAAAATGAAGGTACAATATAAAAGAAATCAAAAGAAAATCAATGAATTTCTAACACAATAAAATGCAGTGATGAAATGAAAAGTGCAAAGCAGAACAATCTGTATTATCAGATAAAATTGTAGTTATGCAAAATCAGCCACAGTTATCCCCTTTTAAAACACTATACTGTATTTGCTTTTGACCTTCTACTAGCCCTCTAGTTGAAGCTCACTATGTTCCAGCTGTTTGGCTTAAAGACTGAAAAAGAAAGGTGTGTACCTACCTATTCCAAGGAACAGGTTTCTGAAGACTCTGGGGAATGTGCAGGAGAATTGATCCAGCATAATGGTAATGTAGCTGGACCCCCTACCTAAACAGGAGACATGTTTGCTTTGCAAAAATTCTGCTTCAGGATGCTTAAAACAACAGTGTACACATTGAAAGTTGATGTTACTAATCATCCAAAAACAAGGAGGAGGGAGTCTAGTCCCCAAGAAACAAGTTCCGTAATCTCAGTGCTACTACAAGAAGAAGGCCATCAGAAGCAGAATCTGAAACTTCAATAGCTTCTCACTTTGAATTTTGACTTTGGATTGTCTGGACCAGAAATGGAAATTCTTTATCGATAATAAGCTGCTTAATTATTTTCACTAATTAGTTGTGAAAAATTAGGTTGTGTTTGAGAGTCTCTCTGTGTATTTTCCAATATACTGTAATTTTATTTTGCTTGATTGGGAAGATGGAGGAATCTAAGTAAATGGGAAGGAAACAAGAGCAAAGTCAGAGGCTGAATTGCAATGGCCTTGCTGGTTGCAAGTATTAAGGAAGTAATGTATGCTCAGTAGACTTTTTATTCACATTTTTGCATCAAATACTTGAATAAATCCTACAGCGTGAGAGTGTATTTTTTCCAGCACTAGATCCTCTTGCTTGCTTTGTAATCTACTGATAGCCAAACTTAAGTGTGACATTAAATATTGATAATGTTTGAACTGAGATGAGCATTGGGGGTTCTACCTGGAGTGTACTTGTGCATTGCATACGGTGATGAGTATGGACTGGATTCAGGGACTTGTGGTGCATTGTACAGTAGTGTCTGGGCATCATTTGTCAGGCCCCTTGGGACTGTGGGACTGTTGTGGAGCAGGAAATTTGCCAAGAATGGTAGAGGACTGACTGCTGTCATTGCTATGTTAGACTTTGGGTTTTTTTGATATTGTAGTACCCTTTGAGTTTGTTGCTGGAAGAAAATACTATTATAACTACACTGTGGCTTGAAAAACACCAGCATACTCTTGTTCATGCCTCCCAAAGGCCAGCGTGCAGAAGATCTGCCTACTCCTTTTGAGGGAGATGTGTTCTTAAGAAAGTTTCCAGCATTCATGTTACATTACTCAAGATTATGTTGCTTAACTCTAGCATTTAAAATACATGAAAAGGAATATGCTAATAGATGCAATGAAGCATTTTAGAAAAGAAGGCTATTATGTCAGCTTCCCAAGGGAATTCTTCTTTTCTTTGCATATTTTAAAAACCACACATTTTTAAAGTGAAGATGGTTTGTATCACTTTACAGTAATGAGACATTTTTAAAAGGTCTAAATAGACAGCATTAGAAATAAGAAAACCTTGGTTAAAACTACCAACTAGCAAACCCCTGTTTTGGACTCTTTTTTTTTCGATTTCTGCTTTAGAAGGTGTCTTGCAGTGCCTTATAAACTAACAAGCAGATCTTCTATACTTTTAAAATAAGTAAAATTTGGATTTATGAAACATCCCCTGTGGCAAAGCACACAAATGATCTTATGATGCAAATATACTTTTAAAATAATCTTCTATACTTTTAAAATACTTTTAAAAAGCACACAAATGATCTTATGATGCAAATGTGTTCAATTGATAGTAACTATTTCAGTGGCTGTGTTTAATCTCCGTGGCTAGAGAATTCTGTGTATGTCTCTTTCCAAACTGTACATATTGTGCATTGGTCTTTACATTCTTGGCAGGTCCTCTCACTGGGAGCTGATGTCCTCCCTGAATACAAGCTGCAGGCACCACGCATTCACCGTTGGACCATCCTGCACTACAGTCCCTTCAAGGCAGTATGGGACTGGCTGATTTTGCTGTTGGTCATCTACACAGCTGTCTTCACACCCTACTCAGCTGCCTTCCTCCTCAATGAAGAGCAGGAGGAGAATCTTGCTGACTGCAGCTACTCATGTGATCCACTTTATATTATTGACCTTATTGTGGACATCATGTTTATTGTTGATATCATCATTAACTTCCGCACCACATATGTCAATGTCAATGATGAGGTAGTGAGCCATCCAGCAAAGATCGCCATCCATTACTTCAAGGGCTGGTTTCTCATTGACATGGTGGCAGCCATTCCCTTTGATTTGCTCATCTTCCGTTCTGGATCTGATGAGGTAAGTTACATAAAATTTAGCCTTCATATCATGAAGAAATATTGGAAAGTTTGTGACCATGTGACACAGATGCACTGGAAAGAAAAAAGTGTTCTGGCTTCCAAGTAGATTTAATGCTTTCACACGTACACACCTATAGATTTTTAAAGGAGTAAAAGTCAAATTAGAACTCTCAGAATCCCTCACCATTTGCCATACTGCAAGGGATTTCTGGGAGCCCAACAAAATCTGAAGATCCAGAGTTGAAACCCTTTATATTTAGCAGTCATTGTCATATACCAGTGCCTAGAGGCTTCTAAGCAGGATGTGGCTGCATGTCATGGATCCTTTCCGTAGCCATTAACATCACCCACAAAGTAACTGAGATGGTGAGCTAAATATGGTTTATAAAAGATGACTGTCTGTCAGTGATATAATTGGCATGGACCTGTACCCACAGGACTGTGCACAAGATTAGCAAGATACTGTACTGGCAAAAGTGGGGGGGGGGAGGGAGAAAGAAAGAAAAACAAAATACTGTAACACTTTAAAGATTAACAAATGCATTTCATTGTGAACTTGCATGGCTCAAAGTCCACTTCCTCAAAAGTTTACTTCTCAAGTGAACATTGGTCCATGAAGGTGTACACTGAAATAAATTTGCTAGTCTTTAAAGTGTACAATTTTCGTTTTATTTTGTTTTTCTTTTTCTTTTGCCAACATTCCGAGATAGACTAGCAGAGCTCCTTCTTGGGAAACAAGCAGAACAATACAGAGATTACTACATTTATTTGGAAACAAGTGTGGGTAATATCTTTTTCATACCACTTACTTTCATACCACAATATCTTTTCCATACCATCTCTGCAACATATGAACTTTTGCCAAGCTTGGCTAGAGGGAGGGATGGGAGAGCTCTAAAATCATCCTGCCCAGATGTTGAGGCTTCAAGGTTAGTAATTATTTGGGAATCTACCCCCTAACATTTTGGAGTTCATGGGCTTATTGATAACATTTCAGTAATGGAAAAACTTCTTAAAATTTGCCAAAATGTTGAAGAAGCTTTTGGCTTCAAGATGTAATTTATGGGACTATTGCAATATAATCCCATAAAGTTAGATGCCTCTAAAAGTGGGGAAATGAAGCAATGTGGAAATAATCATATACTACTTAGAGCAGAACTAGGAAACCCATGGCCCTCCACATGTTGTTGATTCCCATTGTTTCTATCAAGCCTGGCTGATGATGACATATGAGGAGAACAATAATTTGTCAACATCTGGAGGGCAAAAGTTCCCCATCCCTACTTTAGGCAAGATGAAGTTGGAGAGCGCTGGTCTTGACATTATTCCTGTCTATACCTCTCCTTCTTTTACCTGAAAGAAAAACTAAACACATTTATGATACTTCTGGTATGGTGTTTTTATGCAGTTTAAAGACTGGTGATATTTCCCAAAACGTGCACTAGTGTGCACACAGCAACACAGAAAAAGGCATACAAAGATACAAGGAGACATACAGCACACACACACACACACACACACACACACACACACACACACAGAGAGAGAGAGACACTGATATACAATACAGTGGTGCCCCGCATAACACACACACACACACTTTGAAAATTCTAATTTGTCTATTTGTTGTTTCTTTCCCTATGTAGACAACAACTTTGATTGGCCTGCTGAAGACGGCACGGCTGCTACGGCTGGTGAGAGTAGCCCGCAAATTGGACCGCTATTCTGAGTATGGGGCTGCTGTACTCTTCTTGCTCATGTGCACTTTTGCCCTCATTGCACATTGGCTAGCCTGCATTTGGTATGCCATTGGCAATGTTGAACGGCCCTACATGGAGCATAAAATTGGGTGGCTGGACAACCTTGGTGACCAGATTGGCAAACGTTACAATGACAGTGACCTCTCATCTGGCCCTTCCATCAAGGACAAATATGTGACTGCCCTCTACTTCACCTTCAGTAGTCTCACCAGTGTGGGCTTTGGCAATGTTTCACCCAACACCAACTCTGAAAAGATCTTCTCCATCTGTGTCATGTTGGTTGGCTGTAAGTACCTTTCTATCTTCTCTCTAATGTTGCTTCCTTTTCATTGATGACAATGAGTTTCCCCTTCTATTCTCAAATGTACCAGAAATTTCTTGATCTAGTCCCACTAGACTACTTGTATATGTGGACGCTATATTGGTACTGAATTATCATCTCTGCAGCTTCCTTCTTGTTAACCTTTCCTCTGAGGCAGTCAGAAGTGAAGAAACTTAGGACTTTTTAAGCCAGTAGAAATAAGGTCTACCAGAACAATGACTATGGACATCAACTAAATAGAAGGTTTATGTATCTGCAATACCTGAATATAAGAGGGAGAGGCTCAAAGGACATAAAATGAAAATTGCCCTTCCCTGTAATAGCAGACTTCAGTGGTTGAGTCCTTGGAAGCTAATGGGCCCTTGCAAAAATAAGATAGTGGTGTTTTTTCCTACTCAATTGGCTCCAAGGGGAAGCATAAGTAAACATGTATGTACTTTAATAATGCAGTACCATGCATTATTCAGTTAGAATTAAGTCTTATTGTGTTCACTGAAACTTGCTCCTAGGTAGCTGTAAACAGGATAACAGCCTAAAATATGAATAATTGTTTTAAAATAGTAATAATAAACCCACTAAAACATGCTGTGTGATCTTCCAGGGCCTTCAGAATGTTGATGAGACAGAGATAAAATGTAGAATAACTTGCCTAATTGTCTAGAGAGGGAATTTCCAGATTCATATCGAATACCAAAGACACAGGCACCACAGTACCTTAGGGTGGAGCCCTGCAATTGGTCCAAAAAAAAAAATAGCTGTGCTTAAATTTCTCTATTATTTCTAAGAGAAATAATGGGAAGTTTTCCTTCCACCCAGCATCATAGCCGAAAATGGGGTGGGAGTTTGGGTAGCCTAAATATACCTCATGGCTTTTGGGCTGCTTCTACCTCAGGAGAGAGAGAGAAAAATCTGAGCTAACTGTACATCTGGAGATTAAGGGTTTGGCGGAAGCTATGAAAAGTTAAGGTATGCGATAAAAGGAAAAGGGAAGAAATGAAAATGTTGGGAGGGAAGGACCTGCAAGAGGCCCTAACAGCTTGTAGTATTTGGGAGATAAGCAGTAGGAGAGGACAGATGGAAATCATAAGGTTAAAAGTCTTTCACACTCATTTTATAACCACTTTTTCCAACGATATAACTAGTCTAGCAGTGGCAGCAAGCCCCAAACCTGAGCCCTCTAGCAGAGAAGATCCCTCTTGTCCACTTGAATAATTACAAACCTTATTGTTAGAAGCAGAATCTGAAAAATGAATGAAAGGTATAAAGGAAGGAAGAATGTGTCCCACAAAATAAATGGAGAGATCTGGTACTTGTTAGCAGTGGTGAGGCTGCCATTATCACAGGCAGAGTGCAGATTTTGCCACACTGGCAATGTATATAGCCGTTTTCACCCTCCATGGAAACACATAGTGGTCTGTAATAAAAGCCTCCCAATTATGAGAGCAATGTATCTATGAATATAGCCTTTTCCCCCCCTCCATGGAAACACATAGCGGTCTGTAATAAAAGCCTCCCAATTATGAGGCAGAATAGCCTGACACACACTCTTTTTTTAATGTATTCATGAGCAGACTGCTTATGCTTCCTAGTTCTGAAGCAGTTGCCCTTAGTGTCTGAGAGAGTACAGCCTGAGACTAGGGAACAGATACTTAAAAGATCAGATAGAGAACATGTGGTCCTCCAGACATTGTTCGTCTGCAGCATCCATTAGCCCCACCATCACAGCTCGTGAAACTGCAGTCCAAGAATATCTGAGGGCTATACATTTCCCATCCCTGGCTTAGAAATGTGGCACCAATAGTATTTGTTTGCAAAAGTTGGACTCTGTCATGCTGGACCAAATCCTGTTATTCCTCTTTTTCCTCTTTGCAAAGTAAGTAGCTGAGACCTTAAACAAATGGGTATATGAGTGAGACCAGTCCGTGGAGTAGTCAACATACTTGATGAACTTCAGAGATGAACTTGAAACAAAACATTTATTTAAGATGAGTAGAAGAAAGTGAAGGAAATTAAGAGTTTCAATATAAATAAATCCAATTTAAATAATCCTATCCCTAGAAATAAGAGCCAGTATGGTGTAGCAAACAGAATGAGGAAACAGAGTTCAAGAGACCTGAGTTCAAATTCCTGCTTAGCCAAACAAAATATTTATTTAAGATGAGTAGAAGAAAGTGAAGGAAATTAAGAGTTTCAATATAAATAAATCAAATTTAAATAATCCTATCCCTAGAGATAAGAGCCAGTATGGTGTAGCAGATAGAATGAGGGAACAGAGTTCAGGAGACCTGAGTTCAAATTCCTGCTTAGCCATGGAAACTCATTGGAGGGTGGCAATGGTAAACCAGTCCTTAGATGTCTCGTATGCCTCGAAACCCTTGTCAGGGTTGCCATACTGTGGGTGTGACTTGATGGTGCATAACATTCTGAGATATGAAAGCCAGAATTTTGGTTTGAGGCCTTGCTCAGCCATGGAAACCTATCAGAAAGTAGCAGTGGTAAAACCACTCCTTAGATATCTCATACGCCTTGAACCTTCTGTTAGGGTTGCCATACAACAGATGTGATTTGGTGGCATGTAAAAACAACAGAAGTGCTTACATGATATTCAGGATAGTTCTGGCCTGGAGATAGGATCTCTCCCAAATCACTCACTGAAATATCTAAACATGCTGAAAATCCACATGCATGCTTTAGGTTCAGTTGGATTTTGGCTGACAGAATGAGGAGAAGACACATGCAGTTGGCTTGCCAGGTCCAAGATGCATCTCTAATAATAACACATTATGCTTAGCTCCTGGCAGTAAACTGTGAATCTGAAAAGATGTCCTGCTTGCCAGACACAGGGCACACATATGCATCTCCTAATGAATCCTTTGCCCTATAGAACTAAATAGACCTCAGTGAAATGTATGGGGGAAAGAAACATGTGGAATCCATGTCAACAGTTGAGGAGAGAGCAAAAGCCACATCCTGTCCCTGGTAAGGGGCAGGGAGCGGCACAGCATGTGCTCCCTTCAGCTTTGCCTGAAACTGCAACCCATTTTCTCCGTTTGACTGAAGACATTGGGAGCCACCAGTGATATACCGGTAGTTATCTGTTAAGTCTAGTTTATTTCCTGCCCTAAAAGTGAGCTTGTTCAGTACTTTTAACAGGCTGCATCAGGACAGCAGGGTACATTATCTGTTAAGTCTAGTTTATTTCCGCCCTAAAAGTGAGCTTGTTCAGTACTGTTAACAGGCTGCATCAGGACAGCAGGGTACCCAGAACGTCTACTCCCATGGCTTGGGTTGGCTTTTTAATTTGTTCTAACCTTGTTTCAGGGCTTCAAAACATTCCTTGTTTGCGCCCAACTCCAAGAACTCCAACTTGCTCACAAATAGGGCAGTGGTGTTGTGGCTCCTGTTCAGACATGAAGACATGTTATTGAATGTAACTGGGAAGAACTGGGTTTTCTTGGTATCATCTGTTCATATACGTTTGGAATTGCTCCTTGAGACCTCCATCCCAACACTGACTGCCTTCTTCTCTTGCCTATATGTTCTTCACCCCCATCCCACCCAACTCCGCTCTCCTCTGTCTCTCCCCTTATTTTGCCCAGCTGCCATTCTCAACCCTTCACATTTTTTGCCTGTCAGTTTATGTCACTGTGTGAATTTGGCAGTGGTTTTCCAAAGGAAGGAACAGCAGATAGCTCCAAGAAGCCTAAGCAGGAGAAGTACTAAGGCATGGAGAGGTAGAAACTTCCCAGTAGAAACACACCCCTAAGGATACATCATCAAATGACAATTCACCCACAAAGTGATTTGATCAGCATGCAACAAAATGGTACAAGGGGCCACACGAGCAGATTGTACACTGGAGGAAACCAGAACAAAGCAGAACAAAAATACATTACTACCCTGCGGTGGTGTAAAAATAAAATCCAGGAAACAAGACCCCCCCCTACTTTGACGTTAGTTTCAGCCCTGCATCTTGTGGCCACTGGGATGCAGTGCCAGTGTCATAGATGGAAGGAAAGTGGTACAAATCTCTGAGTGGATAGGCTTTTACTGTTCACTGTGGGTATTTTCTGTACCTCTTTGTCTTCTCATAATTTGTCACTACTAAGGAAATTTTTATCTGGATCTCCCTTGTCTGAATCTCACATTCCATCCATTCCCAATGGCATGAAATGGGCACACACTGAAACAAGCAGATGCAAACAGGGTCAGCCCAGACATTTGATTGAATGTATAAAAGCAGACTGGACTGACAGCTGAACCCGTCTTCAGTGCTGCCAATGGGACAGCTTTCTCCACTGCATATGAAAGCACTAGGCCACCATTAGGCAATATATGATATGCCATGTGGCACCCAGCTGTTCCAGCATCTGTCTGAGGCAACTGCATCACTCAGTGTATTTCAAGAGTGGGTGAAGGGCAATCTGTGGGCCACGTACAGCCTACCAAATCTATTTCGAGGACCCACAGGCCTCTATGGAAGCTTCCACATCTTCCCAATTAGGTTTTGTTTTTAAAATTCATTTTACAAATGTGCTTTTTGTTTTGCTTAGAGGAATCCAGGAGCAGCCTTGTGAGTGTTTTACAAGAAGTGCTTTTTGTTTTGCTTAGAGGCATCCAGGAGCAGCCTTGTGAGTGTTTTACAATGTTTCATTTTGTTGGATTGATTGCATTTGATTTTTTGCATTGGGAGTTTGTCATAAAGTCCTCAGTTTAAAAACATCAGTTAAAAAAAAAACCCAAAGAAACCAAAATCAGATGTTCTCATTTCCTGTGCTGGCCATTTCCAGGCCTGAAGCAACCTATGAGAAGTGTTGCCAGTGACAATTTGGCTCCTAGATCTATAACGTTGCCTACCTCAATCTAATGGTAGGGCTGGCCCTACATTTGAATTAGTATGCATGGGGTACATCACAACTATCACTGTCTAAAATAATTGATTCCTGCAATTATTGCAGTCTCATTCTGCTGATGGTGTCTTGTTCTCATTCCATAATATTCATATTGAAGCCATGTTGGGGATCTGTTATTTTGGAAAGGAAACTGGAATTGCGCAACGTGGGGATAAAGAAAAGGCTTTCCACTTTCTCTTCCCTTTGCACATGTCTGCTTTTTCCTGCCTCCTTTTCCTCTAGAGTTTACTTTTTTCCACATATCCTGTTTCCGTTCCCCTGTACCCTCCCCACTTCACTTGTAAGTGAATCACAAAATCAAATATAACATTATTTTCTTTCCCACTCCAAATGTGCAAGTTGATTGTTTGATATACAGTATATATAATAGAATATGTAATAACAAAATTCTTTAGCTTGGAAAATTATAGTTAACTCAAAGTTCTTCAGTACCGACTGGTGGTAAATTCAGCTGCGAACAGGTTCTCAACCACAAGACAAGTCAAAGAAAAGAAGAAAAATCTTGTTGCTTCCTCCAGTTTCTTCCCATTTCCAGGAAGACGTTTTCTGTGTTTTTTTTTAATTAACTGATGCAGTGCATCTGCACTGCTCTAAGTCTAACTTTTGTTCACTTCATCTGCCCCTCCATAGAAGAGCAGATGAACTGTTCAATTTGCTAATATCCCATGTCTATTTTCTTAAGCCACTTCAAAGCAAAAGTAAAGCAAAGCGTGCTGCTTATATACCGCCCCATAGCGCTTCAAGCACTCTCTGGGCAGTTTACAAGTTAATTATGCAGGCTACACATTGCATCCCCCCCCTCGAGAGCTGGGTACTCATTTTACCAACCTCCTCTGGGCGGTTTAGAAGTTAATTATGCAGGCTACACATTGTCCCCCCACAGCGAACTGGGTACTCATTTTACCGACCTCGGAAGGATAGAAAGCTGAGTCAACCTTGAGCCGGCTACCTGGGATTGAACCTCAGGTCGTGAGCACAGTTTTGTCTGCAGTACAGCGGTTTGTTTATATATATATATTCATTCATTCATTCATTTTATTAGATTTATACCCCACCCATCTATACAGATAGTCTACTCTGGGCAGCATAAGAAAAATTTAAAAACAATATAGCAAATTGACAGCAGAAGGAGGTGGACCAAATAGGGTTATTTGAGGTCCAGTATGCAATTTGGATTCAAGGAGCACATCAAATGGCATAATAGATCTCTACCCAACTCCAATCAATCCTGTTTAGCCGTGCACCAATCCATGTCAAAAGAGCTGTGTAGACAAACCTTTATTTATAGCCAAAACAATCCATGGCTCAGGAAGCAATAATGCTAGTTATTCTGAGCATGAACAATATGTGGTATCTTTCACTGTTGAGAACATATGATTTCTGTAAACATTTGAGACTAGTGATTAGGGTTCCAGGTCAGACATATTGGCTTTTAAGCAGGCATAAGACAAGGTACTTTAGTTGTGGGGAGGGGGACTCAACAAATTCTGTTAGTACTTAAAAGCCAATGTTATCTCCTAGGCTAGGGGATTTTTTGAACACTCAGGTTTTGTCATCAGTAAGCCACAAATACCTCCTTTGTGTAAGTGCTTATAATGTATATTTAAGCAGACTGCACGATTTCACCATTAGCATCATCAAGACAATGGTGCCATTCATCTATATCCACTAATCCCTGCCCTCTTGTTTCAGCTCTCATGTATGCCAGTATCTTTGGCAATGTCTCCGCCATCATCCAGCGGCTGTACTCAGGCACAGCTCGATACCATACCCAGATGCTGAGGGTTAAGGAATTCATTCGCTTCCACCAAATCCCTAACCCACTGCGGCAGCGCCTTGAAGAGTACTTCCAGCATGCCTGGTCCTACACCAACGGTATTGATATGAATGCGGTGAGTCCGATAAGATGCATACTTCTCCGGCATGGACCTGGCAGCTGGAGTGGGGGCGGGAAGGGAATGGAGAGAGATGGGCATATGTAAATCTTGCATATTAGTGGATTTAATCTGGATACCTTCTTTCAGAGCAAGATATGATACCCTGGAGTTCTAACCTAGCCTCCCAAAATTCTCAGCCATATTCCTACAGAGCTGAAAGCAGTTACTTTTTTTGGACTCCTACTCCCAGAACTGATTCGCAAGGCTGACTGGGGGATTCTGAGAACAACAGTCCAACTAAATAAGTTTTCCAAGCTCTGCCTATGTATTTTCCAAAAGTGTTACCCTTTGGCTCGAAATCCACAGTGTGGATTTCGAGCTAATAGATCCACCACTGACATGGTATTTTCCCTCGGACAGTTGCAGGAGAAATGTAGGGAACAATAATAGCCACTCTTTGTGGCCTTCGTAGATCTCACAAAGGCCTTTGATCTGGTGAGCAGGGATAGCCTTTTTAAAATACTTCCCAATATTGGATGTCCACCTCGACTCCCTAACATCATCAGGTCCTTTCATGAGGGAATGAAGGGCACTGTAGTTTTTGATGGCTCAACATCAGATCCCTTTGACATCCGAAGCGGAGTGAAACAGGGCTGTGTCCTCACGCCAACCCTGTTTGGGATCTTTTTTTTGCTGTCATGCTGAAGCACGCCTTTGGAACTGCAACAGAAGATGTCTATCTCTGGACTAGATTAAATGGAAAGCTCTTTAATCTCTCTGGATTGAGAGCAAAGACCAAAGTCCAACTGAAATGCATGCAGGATGTCTTCTTCGCAGATGATGCAGCCATTGTTGCCCATTCTGCTGAAGACCTCCAACTCATGAATCATTTTAGTAAGGCCTGCCAAGAATTAACAATCAGCCTGAAGAAAACACAAGTCGTGGGCCAGGGGTGGACTCACCTCCCTCTCTTACCATCTCCACACAAGAATTGGAGGTTGTTCATGACTTTGTGTACCTTGGCTCAACTATCTCTGACACTCTCTCCCTAGATGTCGAGCTGGATAAACGCATTGGCAAAGCAGCTACCATGTTCTCTAGACTCACAAAGAGGGTATGGCTTAATAAGAAGCTGATAGCATATACCAAGATCCAGGTCTATAGAGCCTGTGTCCTGAGTACACTCCTGTACTGCAGTGAGTCCTGGACCCTTTGTGCACGGCAGGAGAGGAAGCTGAATATGTTTCCTGTGCATTGTCTCCGACACAACTTTGGCATCACCTGGCAGGACAAAGTTCCAAATAGAGTAGGTCTAGAACAAAGTAGAATTTCTATCATGTATACATTACTGAAAGAGCGACGTCTACTTTGGCTCGGGCATGTCGTGAGAATGGCTGAAGGTTGGATTCCAAAAGAGCTCTTGCATGGAGAATTAGTGCAGGGAAATCACCCCAGAGGGAGACCACAGCTCCGATACAACAATATCTGCAAGCGGGATCTGAAGGCCTTAGGAATGTACTTCAACAGATGGGAAACCTTGACATCTGAGCATTCATCTTGGAGGCAGGCGGTGCATCATGGCCTCTACCATTTTGAAGAAACACTTGTCCAGCAGGCCGAGGCAAAGAGGCAGTCCCGAAAGCAGCAAAATCAGGGAGCTGGACAGGGGACAGATTGTATTTGTCTTCAGTGTGGAAGGGATGGTCACTCTCAAATTGGCCTTCTCAGCCATGCTAGACACTGTTCCAAGTCCTCCATTCAGAGCACATTACCATAGTCTCTCAAGACTGAAGGATGCCTAACCTACCCTCTGGCATGTGCTACAGAAGATCCTCCCAACACTAACAGTGATGCTTAACTGCTGAAAATATAGATATGTTTATTCAAAAATCAATCAGGGTTGGGTCTCTGTGGCTTTCTTCCCCAACCTAACACCTCCAGATTCCTTGGGTAACAATGCCTATCATCTTTAGCCAGCACAGTGGCAGGATTTTTAGTCAATCACATCTGGAAAGTGCCAGTTGGGGAAAGCTTCTGGGCAAGACTACAATAAGGAGTGGAACTCAGCCCTATAGCGATTCCTCCTTGAATTTTTCCAGTGGTTCTGCATGCTCTTTGGGCCATGCATGGATTGTGCTTTCTGTAAAGACGTTAAAGTAAGAGTTGATATTATTTGCTTCTTCTCCACCTGTCTTCCTATAAAGTGAAACAGGAAGGATAGATGGAATAGAATGGGAAATTAACAGGAAACAAAGGAAGCAAAGAAATGAAATGTTGCCTCCAAGGGACCCTTAAGGAAGAGAGGAATAGGAGGAGGGGACACTGTAACCCTTTCCTTTCCTTGTTTTTAAACTAAAAATAGGACCCAGAAAAAGCACAGAGGATGGGAAGGTGTTAAACTGCTCCCCCAGAATGTTATGCCACTGTAACTGGCAGATTGTTACTAAAGTCTCCTGTTTAATATCTAGTTTGACCTGGAAGCTCCTCCTTCTTAGAACATATTTGAAGCTTGCCCCAAGCAACCTGGCACCTTTCAACAACCCTTAGGTTTTGAATGTTTGTCCTTTCAGTTAAAAAGGAAAGATTTATGAGGTTCATGTCTGTTTTGCTACCAGACATGAACTGTGGTGGGAGTACAAGAAAATCAGGGTTTGAAGGTGTTACTTTTGAAGATTACAGCTCAGCATGCTTGCTGGAGGATTTTAGGGGCTGTAATCCAAAATAGTAGCAAAGCTCTGAACAAAATGTATATGTATCTTAAAACCCTTAAGCTATAAAAGTACACCTTTTAGATCCAAGCATAATGGGTTGTTCATGTAATATGTACAGAATTCTTTGCTGTTTGCTCATCACTTGCGATTTCTTCATGTTTCGCTGCAAGGGAGCAGTGTAGTTCTTGTAACATGATGTATGAAAATGACTACCCTGCACTTAGATACACTAAATCTATACATTGCCAAACATTTTTGATTGTGTGAATTGGTTCTCAGAATATATGACTGGAATATTAGCAAAAAGTAGGACTGAATACAATCCTGAGCAAAGGTCTAAGCAGTGGTGGGATTCAGCAGGCCAACAAACGGTTCTGCAGAACCAATAATCCATTAGCTACCGGTTCTGTAGAACTGGTGCGAACCTGCTGAATCCCATCACTGGGTCTAAGTGAGAATTATGTTCTGCTCTTTTTATTATAATACCATTCACAGAAGCAGAGCTTCTGAGAGGACCATAGCAACCACTGTACCACTAAGAGTCTCCAGTCTAGCATGAATGCCTTTCACGCTAGTCTGAAAGGAACAGTATTCAGGTGAAACGTAAAGGCTGCCATTCTAATCTGGGCCATTTTTCCCCCTGAGTGTGAGGAAGAGGCTCCAAACTTTTATTGATTCAGCTTTTCTTCCCCATGGCTGGTTGCTAAGCAAAAACTGAATAGGATGGTGCCTAAATAAACTGCAATCCATTTTAATTAGTCTGTTGCAAAAGGGAAAAGAAGGGATCAATAGTAAAGCACAAAGTAGCATTTGAAGAGGAAGCCCTCAATATAGATCTCTTGAAAGAAAGAAGGACAGATCTTGATAATGGGGTTGGGCTTTCCTCATTAGACTGTTATGAAACTGCCTGATTAAAAAAGGGGGAAATCCCATTCTCAAAATAGTTTTCAAGATAAATCATATTTATCTATCTATGTCAAAATCAGAGGCCAGACTTCTACTGGGATTTTACTCCAGAGTAAGTAAAATGCACGAATTGCAGCAGTAAATTGCAGCTAATTAACAAGATTCTAGACATGTACCTGGTTGTGTATGTGGTGTGAGTGGAAGCCATCCGGGCAAGCAACCAGCACCTTGTAAATTAGCTGCAATTTGTCATCATGACTTGAGCAATTTCACTCACCTTGGACCGAAATCCCAATAGGATTCTGGCCAGAATAAGAGATTTTAGCTCGAATGAAATCATTTGGGTGACTGTAGCTGCAGGGCCCTATGTACAACAAGCATGGTTACGGGTAATTGTTTTCCTGCTGAAATATAACAGCACAGAACTGGTGTATTGGAGCACCTGCAGTACACATAAAGCATGCTGCCAACCTCTGCTGGAACAGAAATTGATATGGCATAAACAGGGAACAGATATAACACAACAAAATGTACTGCCAAAATGAAGACAGAAATAATGGCAAATGTACACTGTATATCCTGGATCTGAGGCAATACATTGAAGCAAGACGTAAAAATGACCAAGGCTATACAACATCATGTCAACCAGCCCAATCATATCTGATTTTAGAAGCTAAATGAAGGCAGACATGGTTTGTACTTGGAGGGAAGCTGCTAAGGAATGCTAAGGATCTCCAAGAAAGAATCATGCCCTAAACCCAGCAATCGGTTGCTAGGTATCAGACAGAGTTGAAAAACTGGGCTAGATGAACCAGTGATCTGAGTCAATATGAGGCAGCTTCCCGTGACCGAAAGAATATAACTGGATTCAGAAAGCGACACTGCAAGCATTATCAAGCTTGAAAATCTTACTTTTGGGAACCAAAGATTATAACATTTTCCGGCCAGTTTAGCCAGCTGACATGCTGGCTGGGGAATTCTGGGAGCTAGAGTTCAAAAAGATCATTCAGTTATCTACTGGCTGATAACTCAGGCAGTGAGAACATAAGTTTTTAAAACATTAGTCCTCACCCCATTAGAATATCACCCTTTACTCAGAATATGTTGAGATTACAGAATTGCAGAGGTGCTCTGAACTGTCAAGCAAGCAACACTTGGAGATGGTAAACTTTCTCATTCTGGGGGGACGACTTACTTGGGGAGAGTCCAGCCTCCCAGGTAAAACCTGGGATACCCTTTCCATTGTGAGTGTAAGATTGCTCCAGAGGTCTCTATGGTGATTTTTAGTTTCTCGATGCAAGGGACATCTGCTATTTGAGGGAGGAAGGAATTGTTCATTCATTCACATTCATTCATTCATTCAGTTTTTATTTAAAATATTTATACCAATCCATTTGAAGGAGAGGGGGAAAAAAAAACCCTCTCAGACAGCCACTAAGGGAAAGCCTGCCTGAAAAGAAAGGTCTTTGCCTGCTTATGAAAGGACAGGAAAGAAAAGGCTCACCTGGTTTCCTGGTCCAGAGTCTGAGAAGCAGCAGCAGAGAAGGCCCTCTCCCATGTCCCCACCAAGCACACCTGTGACTGTGGCAGGGCTGAGAGAAAGTCTCCCCACTGATCTTAATGCCCAGGCAGGCTCATAGAGGGAGATGTAGCCCTTGAAATAGCTTGGACTCAAGGTGTTTACTGCTTTATAGGTTAAAACCAGCACTTTGAAATGTATCAGCAGCCAATGGAGCTGCTGCTATAACAGGGGAGTTATATGTTCTCTGTAACCAGCACCAGTTAACAATCTGGCTGCAGCATATTGGACCCGCCGGAGTTTCTGAACACTTTCCAAAGGCAGCTTCACATAGAGTATGTTACAGTAATCCAGCCAAGATGCAACAAGGGCATGTGTCCCTACGGCCAGATCAGTCCTCTCTAGGAATGAGTGCAACTGGGGCACTAGTTTTAACTGTGTAAATTTTCTTGCTCACCGCTGATATCTGGGCATCCCAGCTCAGAGACAAATCCAGGAGCACCCCCAAGTTGTGCATTTGTGTTTTCAGAGGAAGTGTCTCTTGCCACCTCTGGGGAACAGGCTGGCTTGTTCAAAAGCTGCATGCAAGTATCGGTCCCAACTGGCAGACATCTTCCTCTTCCCATTGGGTAGTGAGAGCAAAAGATAAATTTCTATTAGAACCAGCCTATGGATATCGGTTAAGAATCCCTCCTACACTTTTTCTTTAATGAGACATGAGCCTCTCAGAGTGGAGGAAGGGGCACACACAAAAACACCTTTGGCTTCTAAAATGATCCGTGACAGACAGACAGACAGACACACACACACACACACATTCATGGAAAAGCCTATTCTAAAATGATCTTCGACAGACAGACAAACATGCACACACACACATTCATGGAAAAGCCTTCTTCCCAAATGAAATGTTGTGAACACTAAAGTATTGCATTAGAAACTGACATTTTGAAAATGGGGTTCCAGTTTACTTCTCTCCACTTATGTGACCATTGTAGCTCATACTAATTCTTCTGTTGAGCCCTGTTCATAGGTCAGGAAAAAGTACCAGGAAAGAGGTCAGCAGCATCCTTCGTCGCCCCTGCCCACTCATATATGTTTCCTTTCATTTCCACTCAAGGTGTTGAAAGGCTTCCCAGACTGCCTGCAAGCTGACATATGCCTCCACCTCAACCGAACCCTGCTCCAAAACTGCAAAGCCTTCCGAGGAGCGACCAAAGGCTGCTTGCGGGCCTTGGCCATGAAGTTCAAAACAACCCACGCACCTCCGGGGGATACTCTTGTGCATTACGGAGATGTCATCACCACCCTTTATTTCATCTCCCGTGGCTCCATTGAAATCCTCCGGGAAGATATTGTGGTGGCCATCCTAGGTAAAAAAAAGAAGAAGAAGAAGAAGTGCTCCTTTGGGCGACTGGATGGGAAGGAAGCTCTTAAACAAAATGGGAAGGAGCAGCTATTTTGCAAAGGGCATCTGCAAGTCACTGGGTCACTGGTGGGAGGTAGCAGTTTTCCACCCGGGAATCAGAGGAGTCTTAAGTTGTGTTATCTGCCTGCTTGCACACAAGCCTTTTGTATTCCAATTGTCCGCTGTTTTTCACAGAATTTTAGACAGTCCAGATGATCTCAACATTCATGGGTGACCTTCCTGTGTTTTTCCACTGTTTCTTTTGTCTTTTTTTTTTCTATGATAGCAAATCCATGTTAATCGAGGGGGGAAAGCTGTAAAACCTGCACTGTACTTTTTGACTGGTAACAAGTACTAGGTGCTTCTCCAGCTGCACCCTCTGCCTACCGTCATTACTGCAGTGATGTTTTTTTAAGGATTGTGGTGCTGTCAGAAAAAGTAGTTGGGTGCTAAGCGAGCTGTTTATTCTAGGAATTCCAACCGGGAGATGCAGATGGCTGGGATACCCTCATTCCACCCAACAAGTGAACAGCACAGCTGGGGAGTTTTTTAATTGATTCTCCTTCCCTTGTAAAGCAGGGATATACAACTTGTGGCTTTCCAAGTGTCATTGGACTTTAGCTCTCATCACAGACAGACAGCCTAGACAGTAATAAGAGACTGAGGTAGTAATTTGACCAGAGCTCAGAAGTTTACATTACAAAAATAATTCATATCATTCACTGCTTCTTAGCAGTCAGGTTGTGTTTATAATTGCTCCCATCATGCAAGTAATTAACAGTGTTGCCTATTATTACCATATTACCAAAAGACCACAGAAATAAAGGGAGATGCTTTCTGGCTCCCTCTGATGGCCAATTCTGATGTTGCACCTTGAAATATAAAAATACAAAAGAAAAACCCCACACAACACATCCCTTGCTACTTAACACGAACAAATCCTGCCAAGATATCTCTAAAAATGCCTTTAAATGCCTTTTAAAAGTACCTTTTAAAAGTAACTATGTTTAACCCATTACACTTAAGTAACTTAGGTATTGCTGTTCCTTTAAAGTAATGTTGTAATTACTAGTTATGTTACTTGTTACCCCAAAGGTAACTAGCTAATTTCATATCAAACAAAAATAAAAGAAATGGAAACACAATATCACCTTAAAGACTAGCTGCTATATTTTAATTTCTGACTCTCTTTTTTTGTTTGTTTTTTGACTGAAATGCTTAGACACGCCAACACATTTTCTTCTTTGAAAACTGGCTACTTCAAAGCTCTAAATTCAGTGACATTTGGAGGGCCACAGATTCTCCCCACACTGCAGTAAGGACAGCCTATCAATACCCTCTTATGACTAGAAATATTAAGCATGTGTTGTCAAGTCAGTTCAGACTTATGGACACCCTTTTCAGGGTTTTCCAGGCAGGGAATATTTAGAAGTGGTTTACCGTTCCCTTCTTCTGGGAGTGCCCTGGGATTGTGCAGCTTACCCAAGGCCACACAGGCTGGCTCTTCTCCCAGGAGACACCACGGGGAATCAAACTTTTGGCTCCACAACCAGATACCTAAATCACTGAGCTATCCAGCCAGAAGAAGAGCCCAAATAGCAGATCAGAAAGAACAGCATAGTCTGACTATTTTTTGTATTTTAAAGGGCTAGACAAGACAACAAAGATATTTCCATCCACTTCTTTGGGCCAGCCACCTGTTCCTATTATGGGAGGTGGTGCTTGGCCTGAAGAAAAAAGACACATGGGCATAAAGATTCTTTCAACATTTTCAAATGCCAGAGGGTAGAAATCCTCTTTTAGTTCAAGATCCAAATTCTGTTTCAGAAGGGTGACTGGGGGCTCCATGCCAGTTGTGGACAAGGTTCAAAGGCAAAAAGATGGGACAAAAACAGTAGAATGTTTCCTTTGGGAGAGATGTATCAATTTTAAAATGGGGAAAACTTGTATAAAATTTGGGAAACCAAAATGATGTCATGGAGAAGAAGGCATGTCCACTTGGCCAAATGGTGTTCCCCAAAAAGCCAAATACAGTACAGTCTCAAGGTCAAGATGTCACCCACTCACCTGTCTTTCTTTTTGTAGGTAATGCTCATAGTCTCAGCTGTGAGAAACTGGAGTAAAAAGCAATGGATTTCTCACTCCTCTGCAGTTTCATTTCACATTTCCACTGTAGTTCACAGAGCTGAGGACATCAGGTTAGGTGGATGTCTCTCTTAGGACAGTAGAAAGGAAGATAATGTACTATTCACAGGATTTCTTATGTCATGCAGGGAAGAATGACATCTTTGGAGAACCTATTAGTCTCTACGCCAGACCTGGGAAATCAAATGCAGATGTCCGAGCCCTCACCTATTGCGACTTGCATAAGATCCAGCGGGAGGACCTCTTGGAAGTCTTGGATATGTACCCAGCCTTCTCAGATAATTTCTGGAGTAATCTAGAGATAACCTTCAACCTGAGAGATGTAAGCATTTGATCTGGGAGAAGAGGAAGAGCCAGGAACAGTTAGAAGCATGTGGTGTACATGTCTATGTGTGTATGCACACACATATGTGGCTAACAACATGATATGTTGAATATATTTTGTTACTGTTATTAGTAACAGCACTGGAGAGATGTTATAGTTAAGTGTTCTAATTAAGCACTGTTCCTTGCAAAAGAAGAATGAGTGCAGGAATGGGGGACTGGTTGTAACTGTATGGGGGATTCTGGGTGTTGTAATCCCCTCCATCTGGAGCACACCCGGTTGGTGGAGGCTGTTCTAAATGGCATAGGCTGTGGAGCAAAACAACTTTAACACACTCCACTTGACCCATTATTGTGACTTTTGTCTCTCAGGCAGACAGTGTTCCTCGCTCACCACTCAGTGAGGAATATGCATGCAACTATCGGCGGGCAGCACGCCGCCATAAACGTTCTATCTGCAAAACAAACAAAACTGGTAAGTCATTCTTGTGGGGTATTACAAGATTTCCACATCGAGAATAGAGCAAGGAGGAGAGCAGATTCATTCCTGACATTTTTGGGTCTTCCCATTGTTTAGAACAGTGAATCCCAGCCTTTTATGTCCCCAGTTTTTGTTGAACTACCATTTCCAGAACTCCTAACCATTGGCTATTCTGTCTGAGGCTTCTGGGAGCTGATGCCTAACAATATTTGGGACCCAGGTTTGGGAAGCATTGGCTTAGAATATAGGCAAAACTAGGTATTCATTTCATTATAGTATGGGCCAGGTAGCAGAATTTTTTTTTTTTTTGTCTGGCAATCACAAGATGTCTGCATCTGAACAAGGAGGCTACATTTACATTCCTGGCTAATTGTAACAACTATGACTTAAACCTTTCCTTCATGAATGTGTTCAAATGTCTTTTAAAGTCATGTATGCCTGTTTGCCTATCTCAATAGTTGTTTCAACTAGCCTTGTGGGAATGTACAATGTGCTGTGCTTGGAAATGTTAAATTTTTGGACTACAACTGTCAGGATTTCTCAGCTAGCATGGCAAACACAACCAGTGGTTGATTCGGAGACCTGTAATACAGACATACAGAAGCATACGTGTGCATGTGCAAGATAGTAGTCCAAAATAGTAAATTTTCCATGCTCCAAGTGAGTTACCTTTTGTGAACATCTGTTCCCACCATCAGGTATAGTATTCACTGGTATCCTACCTTTGCATGGATTATTTAGTCTCATAGCATCCCAAAAGATTGCTCGTTTTATTTGGGGTGTGAGAAAAACAAAACAAAAATAAATTTACAAGAAACACATTGTTCTTTTCTGCTGCCATGTTTAAGAGGTATGTTGCTGGGTTTTTGGTTGTTGTTTTTTTCCACCAGTATCTTTTACAGGTCGAATCATCACGCAAATCCTGATGTTTCTTTGTACAAGTTTCAAATGTCCTTATTGTCTAACTATGAGCATTTTTATAATACTGTACAGAGCAAGGATGAGGAACCTTGTTGGATATCAATACCAAAGCCCCAGCCAGCATGGATAGATATAAGGCATCAAGGCAGTTGAAGTCTCAAAGCATCTGAGGGGCCAAAAATCCCCTAGTCTGGGTAGAGGTGTTACAGGCACCTAGACTGTAGCTCACAGCCAATACTCTCCCTGCTATGCTGATCTGCACCCTTTGTCCCCATGACAGACCCAGATGGCTTGGATACAGGCATCTCTGACCCAGAGCAGTACCATGCTTACTCTGAGCTCACACAGCTACAGCGTCCCCATAGCAAGGATCATTGGGATGATATGTGTAGCACAACAACGCCCTGCTCCCAGACTAGTGAAGAGGAGACCAAAATACCAAGCCCTACAAAGGATGAATTTTGCACAGCCATTGAAAAGAACAACTATGCCCCAGCGGTGGTAAACTTGGTTAGCGATGGCACCAAGGCTGACATACTGGTGACTGATGACAACTATGCAGGTATGTGGGTAACTTCTTAATTTTCTTGGATAAGGTAATAAGGCAATCTGCTCAGCCTCAGTTACTTAATTTACTAACAGATTTGGCTTAGGAGCACCACTTTTAGGATGTTCCATAACTGTAACAAGGATGCAAAACCTCTACAGGACATGAGAAGATCATCTGTGTACTACTGAATGCTAATGGAGAATACTTCAGCTTTCCACCGGTGGGAGGCTGATGCAATATAATTTTAGGATCATCATCATTTTTCCGTAGTGGTCCCCAAACTTGGGCCTCCAGATGTTCTTGAACTACAACTCCCAGAAGCCTTCACCACCACCTCTGCTGGCCAGGATTTCTGGGAGTTGGAGTCTAAGAACATCTGGAGGCCCAAGGTTGAGGACCACTAATTTATGGAACTTAACCAAGCTGACAAGAGTTTTTCTGAGGATTGCAGAAATAAGGGAAGTAAGAAGTTATAAAGACTAAAACAAACATCCACCATAGGAAAGTAGTTAAGATGTTTCATCCACATTTTAAAAAACAATGAAAATTTAATTTCAACGGCTTAAGGGTGGTGGACAACTGCAGCTAGATTGTTACAGCCTAAAGCTGATCTGAGGTTTAGTATTTCTTGAAGCTGTAATAGAGGAAGAGGATGGGTGCTGACAACCAAGGGGAGTGGCAGGTGGATGGAGGCTAGATTATAACTGAGTTTAATATATAAGAGTATAGGGCGTGTTTATTGTAGCCTTAACCTATGTATGTTAATTGTGAAGTCCATCGCTATGGGTTTAGTGGGATTTACTGCCAGACAACTATGCATAGGATCATACTTTTAAATTATTATCTAAAACTTAAGTAAATAAATAAATCAGCTGTATTATATGGACCCCCTTCGGGGAGGCAGAAAATGTAAAACCACAATGATATTCACATTTTCTATAACACTTTAGATGTTGGAAGCACTGTGCATCAGTTAGCTCTGTAACCTTTATACCAACTCAGTAATGTAGAACATTTTAATCTTCATACTACCCCTGTTCTTATAACTATCTTTGTAGGTTTATTCATATTTCAAGTAGGTTACTAAGCATACATTAATATTGTTATTCCTGTCTTGTTCTTGGATGGGGGACAGCAGCACTCCTGTCTTTCTCTCTCACACACCCCTAAACCCACACCAGGTAAGACTGCACTTCCTTTCCACTCCCTCCCTCCCACACCTAGGCTACAGAACTCTTCTTTCTCATACATGTATAATATTCAGAATTGGCACCTTCTAACTTTAAAAATACACAACAGATTTTCCCTGAATGGGAGGAAAGGAGCACAACACAGTACACACACAGTCACCACCAGCAAGCACGCACTCACACACAAAACAGACTCTAACGCATTGACTGCTGGCATAGACTGATGCAGCTGCTCAACCTGGCAAAGGTTATTTCTGTTCTGGGCAACCGTCTTCTCTCTGAAAGACCAAACTGCCAATTAGATGTGATACATTTGCCAGAGGTCCCCTCACCTCCTATTTCTATCTTCCAGAATCCTATTGGACGTGTACAGTTTTGCCTCAAGTTCACTGTCTTTTTACAAGGGGAGCTTTTAAATGTCCTCCTCCTCAAGGCTGGACAGCATCACAATGGTTCAGACTTGAATTTTTTAACTTCAGAAATACACAAGTCAGTTGTGTCCGACTCTAGGGAGCGGTGCTCATCCCTGTTTCCAAGCTGTAGAGCCAGCATTTGTCCGAAGACAGTTTCCGTGGTCACGTGGCCAGCGTGACTAGACACGGAACACCATTACCATCAATAGGTGGCTGTAATTCAGCTTTACAGTCCCTTTTACACATTCTCTCTGGTACAGGGTAAATGCAGAGAGTGGGAGGGAGGCGAAGCATCCTCACTGCTCCCACACCCCAACAACAGGAACTCACTCTAGCCTTACATTTACATACTCAGCAGGATATCCAGACGGAGGATTCTGTGTGTGTATGCAAGCACCTAGTCCATTTCAAGGCCCAATTCAAAGTGCCACTGTTGGATGTATTCGCTACTTGAGTTGAAGATATCTGAAGGATTGTTGTTATTGTTACATGCTGTCAAGTCACCTCCAACTCATGGTGACTCTATGAATGAGTGATCTCCAACTCTCCTCAACTGCCCTGCTCAGCTCTTGTAAATTCAAGCCTGTGGCTTCCTTTGGGGAGCCAGTCTATCACATGTTCGGTCTTCCTCTTTTCCTGCTGCCTTCCACCTTTCCCAGCATTATTGCCTTTTCCAGAGAATCCTGCCTTCTCATAATGTGCCCAAAAGATAGATGCAGTTTCATCAGTTTTGCCTTCAGAGATAGTTCAGGTTTGAGTTGATCTAGGACCCACTTGTTTGTCTTTCTGGTAGTCCAAGCTATCCAGAAAGCTCTTCTCCTGCACATTTCAAACAAATCTTTTTTTTTTCCTATCAGCTTTCTCGTCTGTCCAGCTTTCACACCCATACTGTACATCTTTTGTTGCTGGGAGAATAGAAATATCTTAAATAAATGAACACAATCCAACTGCATGCTCCCCGCCTTCCCTTTTGGGGTTCCCACTGAATCTGTTCACATTATGGCTAAAGGCAACAGGTCATGGCGACATTGATGCAGGACAAGCAGGCCATGGATATTTTGACTGGAGCTTGAGAATGGCTATAACTTCTATTACTGTGCCATTTCATTGGCAGCTTCTGCAATCTGAACACTTTATATGGCTCACCAGGCAGATTTTCTGTACCCAGTTTCAAACCAATAAAGCATGCTGATTTTATGACAAACAGCATTTGTGGACATCTACAGTAGTAAAATGGTGAAAGCAACAAGCTGATTTATGGATGCTCTTGTGGCTGTATCACAGTAAAATGGTGATTTATGGATGCTCTTGTGGCTGTATCAGAATATTCATCTAAAACTGAGCTCAGAAACTTTCTCCTTGTTTATCCCCCAGCAACAACACCATTGGATGTTGCCAATCTGTTCACATTCTGGGAGGACAAGAGGCCCACCTCTCTTATAGAGCCTCTCCAGCATATGTCCTTGGTACACAGCCCAACAGAAATCCACAACCCATTGGACCTGCCTCTAAATACTGACGACAGGCCACAACAGATTGAGTCCAAACTAGAGTGTCTGCAGGCTCAGCTCAGCAGGTAAGTTCAGCCACTTGGAGGACTGGAAAGATTGGCAAATACAGTCAATTCCAACAGTTCTTGGTTTTTTTTTTCAAATCATCCCAGCTTCTGCAAGGTAAATTATGCAGCTCAATTGTCCAAAATTGATTTGATGCACCTAAAGCATCTAATACAAATGCCTAGCTGCATTTTCTTCTACAAAGAGCAAAGTAGGCAATTTCCTACGCAATTCTTCATCTAGTCCAAACTAGAGTGTCTGCAGGCTCAGCTCAGCAGGTAAGTTCAGCCACTTGGAGGACTGGAAAGATTGGCAAATACAGTCAATTCCAACATTTCTTGGTTTTTTTCAAATCATCCCAGCTTCTGCAAGGTAAATTATGCAGCTCAATTGTCCAAAATTGATTTGATGCACCTAAAGCATCTAATACAAATGCCTAGCTGCATTTTCTTCTACAAAGAGCAAAGTAGGCAATTTCCTACGCAATTCTTCATCTCTTTTACTGTCCAGCTTCTTGGCTTCTACAGGTAACAGAGGGAGCCAAAAGAGATGCATAGAGTCTGTATTAAAGATATGACACCCATGCCTACAAAAACTCTTTAATGGGATCTGTCAGAAAAGGATCCTCATAAACTCCATTGTTCTACAAAAATAGGAAGAACTGGCCATGGAGCCATGAAGGGTGTCTTAGTTCACACACAATTGCCAGTACTGTTGGCTGTATTCTGAGTTCACAGTTTTCTTCCTACTTACCTCTGACAGCCAAGTATTTGACGTGAACATATATGGGGGTGGGGGTGGGGGAACTGTGTGTAGATCAACTTGCGCCACAGATTTTCTCCCTACAGACTCTCATCACATCTAACAGATGCAAACTGGGGGCAAGGCTGAGGGAAGCCATAGAGCTTTTAAGACTAGTGCAATCTGATCCTTAAGAGCCACATGGAGGTCTCAGCCAGAGATAAGAGGGGGGAAAAAACTTTGGGAGGCTGCAACTCCCCTTTTATATTCTGGTGATACAAAAAAGTATTGTTTCCCATCTCAGACCCCACCCTATCTATGGTGGGGGCTAGCATGTCACAACAAATATACCAAAACCGTATGGGTCCTGGTTGTTATTTCACTTAATGAGATTAATTAAGATAATTAATCTTATTCTCTGTCAGGAGTCAGATTGTGTTGTGCTGATGGGGTCAATTATTGCTTTCCTGGTGTTTCCTTTCTACTGTCGCAGAGAGTCAGTGTGGAATATTGGTTAAACCTGGGCCTGGGAGACTGGGGTTCAATACCATCTTGGTAGTGAAACTCACCGAAGGCCAGTTACGCTCTCTTAGCTTGATCCTCCTCACAAGAATGTTGTGAGGTGGAAGAGAGCAAAGTACACTGCCTTGAGCTCATAGGAGAAAAGGTAGGACATAAATTTAACAAACAAATAAAAAGCCTTCTTCTGTGCTCACCCAAGCCTCTTCGGTGTCTCCAGTGTTTCTGCAAATACAAAATTTCATATCCTAATATCCGCTGGTTGCTCTTTTGTTTTCTTTGTGTGAAACCACGAGGAAATATGAAATTCTCTGCATTTCCCAATTCTGCAGTTAATTATCTTCCCCCTCACTTAAAAGAAAAACATTTTTATAATACTTCTCTAAGTTGCAGTTGAAAAAAATGACTTTTTCAGGTCCTTTTACTGAGGACAGTTGCTCTTGGAAACCTGAAATAAAATCAGAAGTATTTAAGGGATATAACACAGACTCGCCCTTCTGGTTTTGTTGGGGACTACATCCTGTGGAAACTGAAGTCTGGTAGTTTTTAACTTAGTCTTGTGCATATCTTCCTCAGGTCAGCCAACAACTCAGAATCCCCCAAGCTAACATGTTCTCATCTCTCTTTTATAGACTGGAGTCTAGACTGTCTTCCGATATGAACCTCATCCTGCAGCTGCTGCAGCGGCAAATGTCTCAAGTGCCACCTTCCTATAGTTCCATTTCACCTTCCTCACACAACTTGGCTTTGTACAGCATGAGTCTGAGAAGTACAGAACCTGCCTCCCCAGTAGGGGAAGAGGAACTGACTCCCACCAAGGAGGTGAGAGGCATGCCCTAGGAATGCAGCAAGGTGGAGGAGAGTTTATGAATGCTATGAAGCCATGTCAACCAGCAGAAAAAGGAACCAGACAAAGAGAGTAGGCTTCTGAAAAAACATATTCTGGAGATAGAAAATATATTTTGCATGCTCTGAATCACAGGGAGTGAACGCGGATGATGTCCAGGAAGATAGGCTTCTGAAAAAATGTATTCTGGAGATAGAAAATATATTTTGCATCAAGATGTGCCATCTTATGGCTCCCTTTCATTTGTTGTTTCTTCCTGTGGGAATAATAGCCCATCATCTTTAGCATGCAATTCAATGGCTGAAATCCTGTTGCCTAGCATACTGAGTCACACTTGAGTAGGCCCATTGAATCAGCCGGGATTTGAGTCAATTCCCCCATAAATTCCATCAATTCAAATGGGCCTACTCTAGTTGTGTGTCAGGTTAGATAAACTTATGCAGTAAAAAGGCATAAGCCTTTTCACTGTTGCAGCAATTCCAGGCAACGTGTCAGGTTAGATAAACTTATGCTTGACTTTCCCTAGGAGTCCTATAGAACTTTATAGACCTCCTGGAAAAAAAAATCAAAAGCCTGTGTTCATCACAGCTGTCATTCATCTCATTAAAGGGTTAATTCCAGAATGAAACCAAGCAGTCATTAACAATCATGGAAATTTCATCTGAGTAAAAAGGTATAAGTCTTTTCACTGTTGCAGCAATTCCAGGCAACATCAGCTTGTCTATTTCTACAAGCTTTATTTATCTACATTGCTTCTATTTTTCAGATGCACAGTATACCTCACAACTATGTGAAAACTGTGGACAAAAATGTTTAAAATCCTTTTAAAATACAGGAGCATATATTTTAAGGGTTAAAAAAACCAATGATAATATTTCAATTATATTATATATAGTACCTCACAACTATGTAAAAACTGTAGATAAAAATGCTTTAAATCCTTCTAAAATACAGGAGCATATATTTTAAGGGTTAAAAAAACCAATGATAATGTTTCAATTATATTCTGAAAATGCAAAAGCTTATAATCTAATAAGGCACATTTAAAAGCAAAAGACATCTCTTAAAATATTTAAGTTGTTAAGCTTAAATATCTACTAAAGAAAATAACTTTCTTCATGTCTAAGCATATTTTAAAAAACACACAAAATACAATACATTTTCTAAATGCTCACTTAGTTAATTGCTAACTAGAATTTATGGAGGAAAATCCATTATTGTGAGTTGATTCTGTATCCAGCTATGTGATTGTTGTTGGTATCCAGCATGTGTATCACAGATGGAGACATCTTTTTATGATGAGTTGAATGTTTTGTGTGTGTATGTGTCCTGACCTCTATATTTGTAACTCTTCAACTTGTTTCACTTTCCCCTGTCTGTAAATTTTCATCCAGGGTCTATAGGTCTGGAGATCCAACAAAAATATTCGATAGAAAATTCTATTGTTCCTCCAGGTCTTGCAGATCTTGAGGTCTGCAATTCCATATTTGGCTAACTGACATTATTATCTTTTTGTCATTGTTTTGACTATCGATTTTTGCAGGATCTGGAGCACTAACAGTTTATAAGTATAAGCCCCTAGACCAAGGAAGACCTTATGGCATCAAGGGTCTAGGACACTAGACCACTACAAGATTATACTATTATGATCACCAGTAGGGTGCATCATAAGACCTATATGGCATCAAGGGTCTAGGACACTAGACCACTACAAGATTAGTATAATCATTATACTATTAAGATCACCAGTAGGGTGCATCATAAGACCTACAAATGCCAATTTCATATTTTCCTATTGCAACATAAACAATTCTACGTATTACAGCATATTTTCAATTCAACTCATAGTTCAATCCCATTCTAAACTGGCAGGCATGAATAAAATTCTTCAGAACAGTGTTATCATATTATGACTTTGTTCCCAGGCTGGCTGAAGAGTGGCCTGGATGTTTTGAAATGACTAATGTGAATTACTTCCAAGCCATACTTTAAAATGGAATTTAATTTTCAGGAAAACTTTTTCTGTACCCCTCCTTAATCATTACTAACACTCTATAGACACAAGATAGCAAATATTGACACTAGTAATAATAATCATATGCTATAAACTCAATCCCAACTTACGGCAACCCTTTTCAGGGTTTTCTAGGTAGAGGATGCTCAGAAGTTATTTAACTTTCCCATCTGGTGGAACCCTGGGACTGTGCAGCTTGCCCAAGGCCACACAGGCTGGCTGTGCTTGCAGGAGGCACAGTGGGGGTCAAACTCCTAACCTCTGTCTCTGCAGCCAGATATTGAAGTTACTGGGCAATTCAGTCAGCAATAGACACTAAAGTCAATATTAAATATTTACTTACCAAAGTAGGTCACAACTATAGTATGCCCATTTGAATCAATGCAACTTTCAAAGAAGGTGGCTCACCTAATCTCACTGATTCAGTGGACCTACTCTAGTACAACTTGCAGCATTGACCAACAGGATTTCAGCCTATGCAATTTTTCCCCTCAGAATTAAGGCTCACTGTGTTCAGCATGGATTACTTAGAGGTACATAAGATTGCAACCTATATTGTTCAGGACTGGACAAATGAAATCTGCTTTATAAATCATATATAAGTAGACAGAAGAATGGAAGTGGGTGGCACATCCTGAAGATATGACAGTATGCAAAAAAAGATGATCAAACAGTTTAATTATGAGAGTGATTCCCATGTTACTTTCCCTCATTCTGAGTCTTACTGTTTTTTACTGGATATTTGCTAAAATTGCGGACACAAGGCTTCAAATATAAACAAGATCAATCCTTGCCAAATTGTCTTGTTAATGAGACAATCTGATAAAACCATGAAGTTGACTTTGTTCTACTTGCTCCTTAATCTTCAGTATTTCTTGCCATCACATTTATCAGTATTTATTAATGAAGGGTATTAACTCTTTCCTTCTTTTCTAAAAAAGAATAGTATTTTTCATTTTGAAGGACAGAGCCCCAGTTATGACAGTACATGATACATAATAGGTAAAAGTTCAACTGAGGTGCAAGGGCAGATAAACGTCAAATTGTTTTCAGCTGAATGATTGCTCTGTATTTTGATGTCACATGCAGATAGGAGCTTGGATCAAGGGACTGGCAAAGGCAGCCATCTTCTGTGTCATAATTACAATTGGGGTTCTCAGGTTTATATAGGGAAACGCAGATACTGGTAGATAATCACAATGTGTGATTTTTATTTTCTTTTTCTTAACAGACACCAAGCTATGCAGAAATTGAAAAAAGCCAGTTGAAATCGAGGGACTCCTTGTCAAGTGGCATACACCTGACTGTAGCCTCAGATGAAACCATGACAATCAGCTCTGAGCAAGAGCATTACCCACAGATCCTACCAAACCAAGAGCCCCATCGGCAGGCATCAGGCAACCAGCAGGGACTTTTCCGAGGATCTCGCTTCCCTTCCCTCCCTGAGCACCTCGAGGCACCTTCAGAGCACTTGGACATTCAGAGACATCTCTCTGACCCATTGCTTCCTGCGACCTAGGAATAAAGTTCAAGCTCAAAGCCAAGCCAAGAGGAAACTGAACTGAGGTGTTGCTTACCTCATTTCAATTGTTGCACTTGGAGGACACTATTTATGGCTCAGGGTATTGCTTGTAGCTATCTTCTGCCTTCTCTGTACTGAGGGCAATTTGAAAATGGGTTGGCTTGATCTCAGAAATGGTACTCCATAGAATAGACTTCAGGGGCACATTTTCCTCCTCCCTATGCTGACTGATATATTCTTCTTCCTCCTCACCCCTTGTCTTGCATCTGTTAACTGCAAGCTCCGTGGATGTTGGGGACTACACCTACCTGTCTTTGTGTGGTACCTAGCATAGTGGGACACTGGAACAACATCTGTAATATAATCAAGAAACAATGGAAAATATAATTTGGAGGAGGAAACTACTAAGAAACAGTCATTTCCTTAGGTTGTAGGGGTACCAACTATTAATGTTCCTTTCTGATACAACTAGTACCAGAGCCTCTCTTCATTATGTACGGCCCTGTGAAGGACAGAAGAGTAAAACAATGCCAATTTAAAAAATACTGAACCATACAGGAGTTGCCCTAAAATATATTGAGGGCCACCTCAGATATTAATATTTTTCTTGCATGGACATCATCTGTGTAGAAGAAAAAAGGACAGGATGAAAGGGGGAAATGTTCAGTAACATAGAGAGAGCTACCAATTGGATTTCTGAGCCTGCTGTTTGTATTCAGGTCCCCTTTGGATGGATGTAACCCCTGGTTTCATGACATTCCCTCTTAGGCCCCTGCCCCAAGTTTTATTCCCTTCCTTCAATAAATTAATCTCAACATCCTTGTCTATAGCCTGGATCTATACATAACTGTTCAGAACTGAGTCCTGCTGAATTCTATGAGCTTATTACCAAATAAGGAACCACAGGACTGAAGCTGCAACATATGACTGAGGCTAAAAGGGAAATATTGCTCCATGTATTGCCTCCTAATTTGTAAAGTGGGAGTGACACAAATTTTAGTGAAGAGGAAAAAAAAAAGCATTCCAAAAATATACTTCCCTGATCATTGTAACATTCCAAATTAACTGATTTTACACTCCTTTTCAAGAAAGCCCAGTGTTGTAGTGAGCCCTTTTCATCCAGACCAGAATCTTGCAGATGTCACTCAAGCCACTATGCAAAATACAGATACTGTATGTGCAAGTGGGCTATATATTTTTGTATAAATGTGCGAGGCTGGTATAAGCACAATTTCAGAAATTCTGAGGGGAAAAAACCAAACCAAACAAGTCTCTTTTTGTATGTGTGTATAGCCCTCCCCTCTTGGTTGTATCCTGATGCCACAACATTGTATAGAATCACTATAAATGAATCCTCAAACCCATCCTATTATCACCCCTCAATTAGATGCTGCAACGGCCCTAGGCCATCTATCCAAAATAACACTGAGCTCCCAGTGAAAGTAGCAGGGGGGAAATAACTGTGAGCATTTTCTTTTCTTTTTTTCTCTCAGGAGTGTCAGTGTACAATTTGCTAATAAAGATTATTTTGACACCTGCTGCGGTTTGATGGCATCCTTCCTCTGCAGTCTGAGAGAAGTGCACATGTACTGGGGAATGGTGGTTTTTCTTGAAGGAGGAAGAACAAGGAGAATAGCTGATTTTAAAAAATTAAAAAGCACAATGCAGGAATGGCTCATATCTTGAAAAAAACTAAACAGAAATGGCAGTAAGGCATGGAAGAGTGGGAAATGACAGGCAAAAATATGCCCATAAGGAAATGTCAGCAAATAACACATTCATGAAGTGCACAGATCAGCATGAATCAATGTAATACTGGGGTATGCAGTAGCAGATCTTGCACTAGACCAAATAGGAACTGAGCAGAACAAAAATACAGTACCATCCTGTAGTAAAAGAAACCTAGAAAGCAAGGGAGTTGCCTCACTTGGGCTTTGTTGACACTAATTTCAATCTTACATCATGACAGAATCATGTTGGAAACAATACAACACACTCAAAGGCTCAGCAAATGAAAAAATAGATCTAATTAAATTGCTGCCTCCATTAACCACTCAACACGCTCCCACAAATGTAGCAAAGAGACATTTGAATGCAGATTTTTTAAAAAAAAAAATTCAGTTGAGAATTTTGGAGGCACCTGTTCACCTAATCTTTCTAACTGTGTGATTTATTGAGCCAAAGTTGATTTGGTATGTCTCAGGCCTTTACCTTTCTCAGAATAGTGACTATAACTTCATTTGGGAGCTCTGGACTTTACAGTGGGGTCTTGACTTGAGAACTTAATCCGTATTGGAAGGCGGTTCTCAAGTCAAAAAGTTCTCAAGTCAAATCTGCATTTCCCATAGGAATGCATTGAGACCCATTTGATCTGTATCTGCTCTTTTCCGTCCATAGAAACTAATGGGAAGCTGCTATTCTGCCTTCGACCACTAGAGGGGGATATTTTGTTTCTTTTTTTCTTAGGGCAAGAAAGGTTCAGGGAAGGCAGGGAAAATACAGTCCAGGCAGTACAGTACCAGGCAGTCTGAAGACTGTCTCCCAATCCACTCTCTAAACGCTGGAAGGAGTGAGGAAGCAGACAGGCACCCTTTTCACTGGCCAACAGTTAACTGAAAGTTCAAATTTTGCACTTTCCCTGCCTCCCACGTGGGTTTTTTTAGTTCTTAACTCAAATCTAAGTATGTAAGTCAAGTCAATATTTTCCTATGAGAGTGGTTCTTAAGTCAAAATGCTCTTAACTCGAGCCGTTCTTAAGTCAAGACCCCACTGTACTGCCCCAAAGTCCTGTCCTGATGGCACCAGTGTCTCTCTTGCCTTTTTCCTCAGCTGTGCCTGGATTCAAAACTTCTCTCCCCTCCCCTGGCTACTTATGTCAAAAACTGAATAGAAAGGAATAGCCATGTTATTCCCTCTTTGAGGAACTGTATTTAAATTTGGACCTAGGCATAGGACTTTTGTATTTTTGGGAGTACAGCTCCCCCCGAAAGATCTGCAGGAATTCCCTCCAGACAGAATTCTAGGGTTTTATCTAAAACCAAAGTGTTCGTAATAACTTATAGCTGAGGAATAAAAGCACAGATGTAGCAGTCTGTCTGCTTTTGCTGCGTGCCAAATTTGGAGAAGTTTGGACACAGAGGTTTCAAGCTGATTTTTTAAAAAGTAAAACTGCCCCTTTCCCACATACAGAAACAAGAAACCTTGAATGTATACAGATCTGAAATAGATGAAATAAACTGAAAAGACAAGTCTTGCTTATCTTGAAAGAAGAAAAGGCCCACCTGCTTTTTTTTTAATTTGGAAGGAATTACAGGGGTTGAAATACTGATCCTCAAAAAAGGCCTTTTAAAGAGGTAAAACAATGATCTTGTTACCAGCAGGATCATTGCAAAGTAGATACACTGTTTCATTGGAAGGAAGATGTTCAGAGGGCAATGAAAGGTTACCAAAACCATGAAAAGGAAGGGGGGCTTTGGAGAAAAAAAGGCTTGCTTTAAAGAAAGTAATAGATTAACAGTCATCCAGAAGGCAGGACAGTTTGCCATCTAACTCCAGGTAATAACATACACTTTTGTAATGTGTATTCTGCATTATGAAAACACAGGGCAGTAGTGTTTGTCCCAGCCCTGAGTATTTTCAATCAGCACTCTCTCAGGATTTCCGAGACCAGGCTCCTGACACAAATCTTCAAAGTGGAAATCAGCTCCAGGTCTGGGACAATCTGAACTTTGACTCTGTCAGTCAGGACCCAATTAGCTCACTATCAAGAAGATAACTTTCTAACTCCTTCCTAGCCAAGCAAGTATTGATGCTTGGAAAAATATTTTAAAATATATTTTAATAAGAATTGAGAACAGATATTCAGAAGCTCACTTATCTAAGATGTGAAATTATTATCTTTTACTTTGTAGCTGGGGATGGTCTTACTCAATGTTAGCAGAACTTTGGTGCCTGTATCCTGTCACAGTTTCAATCCTTCCATCCATCTTGTCACTATACTGTACAATGTTTGGTAATTAAGGAAAAATTCCAAAGATGTTATGTGCTATCAAATCACTTCTGATATGTGGTGACTATATGAGTTAATGACCTCCAAAATGTCTTAGCATTAATAACTTTGCTCAGTTGTTACAAACCAACAATACAGTGCAGGGCCGGACTGGGACCAAAAATCGGCCCTGGCATTTAGAGCACACAGGCCCACCGGCTGTGGGGACACCTGCCGCTTCCTCCGAATCCCTCCCGGTAACGGCCCGGGGACCATGGGGCG